TTTGATTCCCAGTCAGGGCATATGCCCAGGTTGCGGGCTTGATCCCCAGTGTGGGACGTGCAGGAGGCAGCCAATCAATGGTTCCCTCTCATCATTGATGTTTCTATCTCACTCTCCTCTCCCTTCCTCTGTGAAATCAACAAAAATACGTTTTTTAAAAATTAGCCGGCTGTATTTGGTCAAACATTTCATGAACTCACCCCTAATGCCTTACCAGACCAAATGATTTCTTGGGCCTTACACGGCCCGCAGGTCCGATGTTTCCAATAACACAGACAGTGATGTGAAGATAAGATACAGAGGCAGATGATATGGGTGTGGACGTGGAGCTATGTATATTTAAAGATCTTCTGCTGAATCAAGTCCATACCCTTCCCTTGGCCTACAGAGCCCTTCCCATCCCCTCTGCCTTGTCTCTCCAGAACCACCGTATGTCCTTTGCCTTTGATTCCAACAGCAGGGCAGTTGCTCATCTCTGAAGTCATTTCTATCCATTCTCCAAACACTCACGGGTTCGTAATAAGTGCCAGACTCTGAGACAGTCACTGGGGTTCAGGGAGAAACCAGACAGTGTCCGCCCTCAGGGAGTGGAGTCTCAGAGACCAAACACACAGGCGCAGCCCAGACACAAGTTGATGAATGGGCGGGGGGGAGGGGGGGAGTTACCCTGCTCTGTAGACACTGGATGCATGTGGCACAGATTCCCATTCCACACTGTTAGTTTTCTATGGCTGCATAACAGCTAGCAGCTTATAAGCAACATGCATTATTGTCTCGCGGTTTCCGTAGGCTGGGAGTCTGGGCACAGCTTCACCGAGTCCTGGGCTTGGGGTCTCACAGAGCAGTTTGGGGCTGGGTGACGTTCCTTTGTACAGCTTGGGGGTTCTCCAAGCTCACCCGGTCGTGGGGCTCTCATGCTGGCTGTCAGCTGGGGGCTTCTCTAGGGTCCTAGAAGCCACCACCGTTTCTTGCCTTGTCGCTCTCCAGCCCCTTCACAGCATAGCTCACGCCAAGGCCAGCAGGAAACTCGCTCGCTCCATCCTGCTAAGATCGAGTCTTACATAAAGGAACATCGTCACAGGCGCGTCTATCTCATTGCCTTTGCTGCATACCAAAACCTAATTGAGGGAGTGACATCCCATCATCTTTGCCTTGGTCTGTTGTTAGAAGCAAGTCAAAAGTGCTGCCTGCACCCACGGAGGGGGCGGATGCCAGGGCGTGACTCACTGGGAGCAGCCTTGGGGCAGGCCCACCGCACACGCCTCGTGGGATCTCCCCAAGGTTTACACACACTCTGGATACGGAGCGTAGGTAGGATCTCTCTGAATGAGGTCAGCTGTGGGACGCTGAGCGCTTCTCTCTCCCCAGCCACGGGCTGCAGCTCCATGTCCAATGCCAACTCAAGACAAAGCCACTCCCACAGGCTGTGGTTGATGGGTTGCGTTGCAGGGCCACAAGCTGCCGGGGTCCAACCCCAGCAGGTCCAGGGGTCCCCAAAGGTGTGGATGGAGTCGGCGAAGAAGGAAGGGCACGGAGACAGTGTTCAGTTGATCAGCAGCCTAGCCAGGATCTCCAGCCAGGATCTCCAGCCAGGATCTGGTCTGGATCTCCAGCGAAGTTCTGCTTAGGATCTCCAGCTAGGTCTGTGTCCATGTTGTCTTGCTAGGATTTCCAGGTTCTCCAGCCAGGTTCTGTAGCCATGTTCCCTTGCTAGGTTCTCCAGCCAGGTTCTGTCCAGGTTCTCCAGCCAGGTTCAGCCACCAGGTTCTAGTCAGGTTCTCTTGCCAATTTCTGTAGTCAGGTTCAGTCCAGGATCTTTTGCCATGTTCTCTCGCTAGGTTCTGTCTCTAGGTTCTGAGGCCAGTTTCTGTCCAGGAACTTTTGCCATGTTCTCTCCAGCGAAGTTCTTCTGTCTCTAGAGAACGTTCTGTGTAGGTTCTGTGCCTAGGTTCTGTCTCTCCTGGTTCCGTATTCTAAGTTCTGTGTCTTGCTGTCTTACTACATCTGTATTTATACCAGTTGATTCAATCCTACCAATCTCTATTACAAAGGTTAGGGCGTTTCTTATCTCCATTCCAGGGGGTAAAGATTATGTAGCTTAAGCATGATTGTTCGTAGTTTAAGTGATTAATTACCCACCTGGCACTTAGTTAAGAGGTTTTATTCCCTCCCTAACTTCAGGGGAAAATCCCTACCTGGGGAAACAACCTTTCTCAGAGACCTTGGTTAAAACACATAGTGCCAAGAAGGTGAGCAAACATATTAAGAACAGTATGCCATATATGCCAGGTCCCTTGAAACAGCAAGCATGGACCGGCTCCCGGCAAATTCCCCCTTTTTTATTTTTTAAAAGCGGGCATTAAAAAGAAAACCCCGAAATGCTCTCTTGTATCCATTTTAAGAGTAGGATTGGTGCTTTCCGCTATTACCTGAGTCCTGATCTATCACCCCAGGGAGAGCTTGCCAATCCTGCACTTTCCCAGGGTGGAAAGGCTGCAGTGGGGTTAAGGATAAGGCTCCTTGGGCCTACTTTCTCCCATGCCTTTACATTTACCTTTCCTTCCTCAGAAAAGCATGGACATACTTCTTGTATAAAACGTTCTGTCTGACTGGGAGTAACCTTAATTCCTCTGCTAGCAAGCATATGTGTTAAACGATCAATACAGAGTCTTATTTCTTTAGACTCAGTATGGCACATCTTCTTAATCTAAAGATCAATACAGAGTCTTCTTTCTTTGGACTCAGTATGGCACATCTTCTCAATCTAAGAATCAATACAGAGTCTTCTTTCTTTGGACTCAGTATGGCACATCTTCTCAATCTAAGTTCTGTACTATCCACCTTCTTACCCTACTTATCCTCTATAGGGGGGTCTGAAGTACCCTGGTGGAGTCCTATCCGTCCCGAATGTGGGGGTTCTCAATGGGGGGGGGCTTACCTAGGGGAATCCTGTTCCAGGGGTTCCCAAAGGTGTGGATGGAGTCGGTGAAGACTATTCACCCTCTTCCTACGGTGGAGTCCTATCCATCCCGAGAGTGGGGCTTATCTAGGGGTCCCTGTTCGGGCGCCATATGCCGGGGTCCAACCCCAGCAGGTCCAGGGGTCCCCAAAGGTGTGGATGGAGTCGGCGAAGAAGGAAGGGCACGGAGACAGTGTTCAGTTGATCAGCAGCCTAGCCAGGATCTCCAGCCAGGATCTCCAGCCAGGATCTGGTCTGGATCTCCAGCGAAGTTCTGCTTAGGATCTCCAGCTAGGTCTGTGTCCATGTTGTCTTGCTAGGATTTCCAGGTTCTCCAGCCAGGTTCTGTAGCCATGTTCCCTTGCTAGGTTCTCCAGCCAGGTTCTGTCCAGGTTCTCCAGCCAGGTTCAGCCACCAGGTTCTAGTCAGGTTCTCTTGCCAATTTCTGTAGTCAGGTTCAGTCCAGGATCTTTTGCCATGTTCTCTCGCTAGGTTCTGTCTCTAGGTTCTGAGGCCAGTTTCTGTCCAGGAACTTTTGCCATGTTCTCTCCAGCGAAGTTCTTCTGTCTCTAGAGAACGTTCTGTGTAGGTTCTGTGCCTAGGTTCTGTCTCTCCTGGTTCCGTATTCTAAGTTCTGTGTCTTGCTGTCTTACTACATCTGTATTTATACCAGTTGATTCAATCCTACCAATCTCTATTACAAAGGTTAGGGCGTTTCTTATCTCCATTCCAGGGGGTAAAGATTATGTAGCTTAAGCATGATTGTTCGTAGTTTAAGTGATTAATTACCCACCTGGCACTTAGTTAAGAGGTTTTATTCCCTCCCTAACTTCAGGGGAAAATCCCTACCTGGGGAAACAACCTTTCTCAGAGACCTTGGTTAAAACACATAGTGCCAAGAAGGTGAGCAAACATATTAAGAACAGTATGCCATATATGCCAGGTCCCTTGAAACAGCAAGCATGGACCGGCTCCCGGCAACAAGCCTAACATTTTAGATGTTCTTGTTCTTCAAAACCCTTCAGCACGCGGTGAGGTGTGTCCACTCTTTCATCATTCCCGGCCCTGAAGACCAACTCCCGCCTCCAGTTTCTTTTTTTTTTTAAGCAAATTTTATTAATTTGAGAGAGAAACATTGATTTGTTGTTCCACTTATTTATACAGTCATTGGTTGCTCCTTGTGTGTGCCCTGTACAGGTATCGAACCTGCAACCTTGGCGTATCGGGACAACACTCTAACCCACTGAGCTACCCGGCCAGGGCCCTCCTCCAGTTCCTTCATTTGTGTTGCTGAGGAGGTTAGCAGTCTGTGTCCTTAGGGTTGCAACTTCCACCTTGTCTGGCTCCGTACACGGTTTCACTAGACGAAAGGGGACCCACCCAAGAGGGACTCTGGGGCCAGGTGTTGGGATGGCGTCCTGCCTCACGCAGTGTGGTGGCTGCTGTTCTGCAGGAAGAACGCTCGGCAATCTCACAAACGATTCTGAAGATCCTCAGTGGAAAGAGGTTATTTCCTTGAGCACCTACTGGCTGTAAAAGGCCAAACAAACAAAAAGGAAACTTACTAAGACGTGGTGATCGAGGCCTTTGCGGGATGGACCACGTTTGGAAGGCGTTTGTGTTTTCCTTACCCTGAGAACTTTTTCACATATTTTAACATCATAGTCCTGTACGAGCAGGACTTGTCATTCGTGCATTCACATTCCTGATGGTTTACTAAAGCGTGTGAAGACCTTTGGCCTTCGGGGGCTCTGCAGCCCCCAGGGTTGGGGCCAGGTGATCTAGTGCGAGTTCCAGCTAACTAACCGAAGCCGCTAACGAGCTGGTAAAGCAGAAATATGCACAGCCTTGCCTTCTTTAACTGGAATATTAACCTTACCCGCCTTACAGTTTGTTACGAGGTTAAACGGAACATCACGACGCATGCCCGAGCCCGATGGAGGTTGCGGCGTCCATCCCACTGTCTGTCACCTTTCCCCGCCCAGCCTCGGAGCAGCCGGGCCTCGGCGCTGCCTCAGACTCCGTCTTCTTTCCCTCCCAGGTTCCTGATCGTCCTGGGCTGCTTGATCCTGGCCGTGCTGACCACGTTCAAGGAGTACGAGACTGTCTCGGGGGACTGGCTTCTGCTGCTGGTGAGATCGCCGACCCACCGCAGCGCTGCGTTTCTGGTTGGACTTTCACGGCCAAGGCCAGGAGGCTGCCCTTGGGTGCAGTTGTGCCCAGTTGGTTTGGGCTTCCTGGGGTCTCTGGCCAAGCCCAGGCCCATGAGAAAGCAGTGCCCGGATCACACGGTCAGGCCTGCCAGGGCCACGGGTGGATTGGGGAGTGCCATTTGTTATTCTAGATCAGATATAACCAATACACCATTACATTCTAAGCTACAGTTCCCAGTCCCCTGAAAGTTAGCACAGAGGCATAGTCCATTCCGGACCCTGCCTCTGCTTTCCTTCCTCAAGCCTGAGGATCTCTAACTCTGCTCAAGGCCAAGTACTAAACCCCGTTCCCGCATAAGCTTACCTCCCCCACGGCCTCTGCCTGTTTTCCTTTTGGTTCCCCATCAGGGTGTGGTACAGAGAGGGGCCTAGCGTTCTTCGGCACGTTGCCTAATGGCCCTGACTCGGATTCCTCACGTCCTGGCCTGAAATACGTGCAAATAGCAGGTGGGCAGCCATGCCGACGGGCTGGGAGCAGCCTCCTCTGCTCCGGGCAGAGGCCCCAGGAGGGCCCTGGCCCTAGGGGTGACCACACCCTTGCTGGATGCAGACTCAGCCCACCTCTTCCGGGAGCGGGTGCCAGTCCCCCAATTAGGGTTCACAAAAGAGCAGAAGCTTTGGCTGGCACTCACTTGCCATCCTTGGCTCCGAGGCCATAGATTCCTTCTGAGAACAGGTGTTTACGATCCACGCACCCCGAGCTGAGACCTGAGCGGGTGGATCCTGGGCGACCGGCTCATTCCAGGGACTAGGTTTCTGGGGTCACCATGGAGCAGCCGCTCCCCAGGGCCCCCGGAGACCACCAAAGAGAGAGGGAGGCAAAGCTGTCCTATCTGATCAAAGGGAGGTGCAGGAGGGACGGGGCCCACCCAGTGACCCAGGAGGTGGCATGGGCTTACGGCATGGGCTCCATGCCAGGTTCCGAGCCTGGGCTGCTTTCTTTGCCACTGCGTAGCCTTGAGAAATATGCCTCCCTGTTCCTTGCCTTGGTTTTTCAAAGTGTAAAATGAAGATAATATTACGGAACCCTGTCTGGCTGGTGCCTGGCCCAGGAGCCAGGCCCAGTGACACTGGCACAGTTAGCAAAACCAGGGCCCTCTCTTTTCAACACAGCTGAACTTATTAGGGCCATTGAACACATTAGAGGGATTAAAAAAACAATCCTTTGGAGCAGAAATATAGAAAAAGGCCCGGCATGCATGGCTCAGTGGTTGAGCTTCGACCTATGAACCAAGAGGTCGCTAGTTCGATTTCCAGTCAGGGCATATGCCCGGGTTGCAGCCTCAATCCCCAGTAGGGGGCGTGTAGGAGGCAGTTGGTAATGTTTCTCTTTTTCCCTCTCCCTTTCTCTCTGAGATCAATGAAAATATTTTTAAAAAAGAAAAAACAACAAGTAATCACTTTGCAAGCCTGAGTGTTTTGGACCCTGAGCCCAAGGGAATGAAGGCAGGAGCTGTCCAGTGGAGGGGAGGACCCGTTCTCTCCCCTCCACCACAGAGCAGCGACCGCTGCAGCCACCGCGGGTTCCCAAGGCCTGGGCCCTGGTCAATCCAATGCTCTGCTTATTTCTTCAACACAGGAAACGTTTGCGATTTTCGTCTTTGGAGCCGAGTTTGCTCTGAGGATCTGGGCTGCTGGTTGCTGCTGCCGCTACAAAGGCTGGCGGGGGCGGCTGAAGTTTGCCAGGAAGCCCCTGTGCATGTTGGGTAAGCCCACCCCTGAGCCACCCGGCCAAGTCCCCTTCCCATACTCTTCTCCTGGGGATGCCTGGGCTCTGCTGAGGCCAGCCCAGCCTTCCCCCCCGCCCCCACCTCCATAAGCTCCTCTGGCTGCTGAATCCCCCTCTGTGTCCCCTCCTCATGATTCCACAGAGCAGTGATTCTTCCTGGGCGTGCAGGAAGGAGCCAGCCCCCTGCAAGCTGTTGAGCATCTTGGCCCCTAGATCGTAGCACCCAGTCATCCCTGCATATCTGGACTGATGGGGGTGGGGTGGGAGGAGAGACACCACTGCAGGCTGAGAATTGTTTCTATCAGACCCTGTTGTGCCCATTTTCCAGAGGTGGGGACTGAGGCTCACAGAGCTGAGCCATGTTCCAGTCACACAGTATATTCCTAACATCCAGGTCTGGATGAACCTAGCACCTATGCCCCCGCCCCCCACCACCACCATGTTGCTCTGTCTTGACCCAAGAGTGGCTCTGAGGAGGTGTCCCTGGGCCCTTCATTCGGGTGCAGGCATTCTGATAGCAGAGAAGGTGGGAGCTGTCATTCTCCCCTCCTGGTGCAGCATAGACCCATATGTCCCATCTGAACATCCTACTAAAATCATAGCATAACAAGACAAAGTCTGCCCACAGTGATGGCTAGGGAACATAGAACATAGAATCCCAGGGCTGGTTAAAGTGTCAGGATTATAGAACGTCGGCGCTGAAGGGCCAGCCAAAGGCCTTTGGTCCACATGCCCTCCTGTCTAATGTTTCAGTCCCCTTCTCAGCAGCCTTCAGCTGGTCACGCAGACTGCTTGCATACTTCCAGTCATGGGACGCTCACTACCTATCAAGGAGTTAATTCATCTTAACTCCTCTGACTCCAGATATTTTGAGTTCAGCCATTCTGTTCCCTCCTCTTCATTCCAGTAGATTCTCCTTTTGTCAGGAAAATGTGGCTTCAAATACACCTCATGTCCCACGTTCTGTCCCAGGAGACTGATTCCACTTCCCACGTGTGGTTGATGCACAATTTCACAGGCAGGGCTTGGCACGCGCCTGTGCCGGCAGACAGGGCCTGTGGTGGCTTCATTGTAGCCCGGACAGCTCTGGTCACGGGCCCTTTGTCTGTGCTCTCTCCCAGACATCTTCGTGCTGATTGCCTCTGTGCCCGTGGTCGCCGTGGGCAACCAGGGCAATGTCCTGGCCACGTCGCTGCGGAGCCTGCGCTTCCTGCAGATCCTGCGCATGCTGCGGATGGACCGCAGGGGCGGCACCTGGAAGCTCCTGGGCTCGGCCATCTGTGCCCACAGCAAAGTAGGTGCCACGGAGAGGCCACGAGGCCACGTGGCTCCCACCCGAGAGCAGGGTGCCCTCCAGCAGGGTGTCCCCAGAGGGTATTCTGCCACCACTGGTGATGACAAGAGGGGGGGCGAGGGAGGGCAGAAGCCGGTGGGCCACGGGGAACTGAAGCAGGTAGACCTGGGCCCGGCTCAGCTCCACCAGATACAAACGACCTGTCATTCAACCCTGTTTGACTGCAGTTTCCTCATTTCTCAGGCAGGGCTCCTCAGGCCTCTGCCTCTGGGCTGTGGAGAGGGAGACCTGAGCTAAGGCAAGGTAGCGTCGGGGGAGGAGAAGGCTCCAGCGTCACGCAGATTGGTTGGCACTGCTGTCACCTTGGGTGCCAAGCACCCAGCACACGCCCAGCATGTGGAAGAGGTTCAGCTGCTATTGGTCGGTGCCGAGCCCGGATCCGCTCAGCCGGGAGTCGGGCATGATTGTTTCGCATCACATGGACAGGGAAGCAGATGCGGAAGGAGGAAGTAGCTGCCCAAGGTCATGCCCTGGGACGCACACCGGGCAGCCTGGCTCCAGCCCAGGTTCAGTGGTTTGCTGCTGGGTGTGGTGGAGCTCACCTCTCGGAGCGAGACCCGCAGCTCGGACCACGGGCTTAGTCTGATCCCCTCCCAGAGTGCCCTGTACCTGAGCAGGGGTGGAAACTGAGGCAGGCAGAGCCTGTGCCTGGAGCCGAGGTGCTCCATTAGTCCAAACCTTAGCTGTTCCCTGGAAAGTACAAGAGAATCGTGTGCCTCGCTCAGGCAGGGAAGCCCTTCGGAGGCCCCGGGCAGGAGAAAGCAGAGCCAGGACCCCGCGGAGGGAGGTGTCCAGGGGAACCAGGTGACGAGGGCTCCAGGCCCATGTCCCACAGAGTTAGACTCCGTAGGGCCAGGAGAGGCCAGGCTCTGCTCCCAGAACCAAGGAGCCTGGGAGTGTTGGCACCTTCTCGCGCACACAGCTCTGATGTGGCCAGAGGGCCCCATCGCTCCTAAAAGTGAGCCTTGAGTCACCGAGCTGAGGGAAGAGGGGCCTGGAGCACCCTGCAGAATGGCCCTCCGCCCCTCACTCCCCACATTGGCTAGACCCCACCCCTCAGCCACCACCGACCGCAGGGGCTCACGCAGGAGCCCACGGGGCAGGTGCAGGAGCCACGGCGCCGGGGGCAGCCACAGGCTCTGCCTCGGAGCTGCTGGTGAAAACCGCGTCCAGGCAGGATTACCCTGAATAGCCTTTTAAATGGCCGCAAAGCACAGGACTGGGACACATTTTTGCTCCTCGCCCATAACCATTATACCGCCTCTTAATAGCCTGCAGCTAGTTTTTCTGGGCATAGGATGTGTGTTTGGTTAAGCATCAGATGAAACTTCTGACTCACATCTGGGCTCAGAGCGTATGAAAACACGTAGGAACGCTGGAACTGCCCACAGCGAGGCCGGAGGCTGGTGCTCACACAGGAGCCCAGGGATGGAGGGCCAGTTCCTGCTTCTCCACTCGAGCCCCCTGCAGGGCAGACCCTGGAGAGGGGAGCGGCTAGCTGGATTGCGTGCACCGTCTAAAACAGTGGTTCCCAAACTTATTTGGCCTACCGCCCCCTTTTCAGAAAAAATATTACTCAGCACCCCCTGGAAATTAATTTTTTTTAAATTTTAATAGCAATTAAACAGAAAGATATATGCCCCCAAATGCGCTTGTGGCCATCACCCCCCACCCCTGGAACGCTGCAGCGTCCACCAGGGGGTGGTAGCGCCCACTTTGGGAATCACTGGTCTAAAAGAACCTCTCTCTCTGTGGCGTGAGCTCACACGTGTGCACTGTGCATAATGAAGTGTTAGACATTCAGACAAGTCTGCTTGGAAAATAGCAAAGGCAGCCCCAGCCGCTTTGGCTCAGTGGATGGAGTGTCAGCCCGCAGACCAAAGGGTCTCAGTTTCAATTCCGGTCAAGGGCACGTACCTGGGTTGTAGGTTCCCGACTGGCCCAGGCCCTGGTCAGGGTTCGTGCTGGAGGCAACCAATCGATGTGTTTCTCTCACATCAGTGTTTCTGTCTTTCCCTCTCTCTTCCACTCTCCCTAAAAAATTAATGGAAAAACATCCTCCGGTGAGGATTAACAAAGAAAGAAAATAGCCAAGACATAAAGGAACTAGAGATAAACCCGCTCTCTAGTTCGGGGAGCAGATCCGGGGGAAGTTCACAGTGGAGGTGACATGAGTCTGCAGCTGGCGCCACGCTCTGGTTGGTCCCGTGGAGAACGGCTGTTCAGGCAGCGAGACCAGGGTCGGCAAAGGCCCAACAGAGGCAGGAAGCGAGCTGTCAGCGAGAGCCCAGCAACCCGCAGGCCCGCTGACCTGCCTCCTGCGGCCAGACAGGTGACAGATATTGATACGAACAACTTTGTTCTCTGACGACTCAGCGGGGGTGACAAACCTAATCTCCAGATCGTGTGCGTCCATAACCTTGACTTTCTCCCCACCCAGGCTACTGAGCTGCACCTTGAAGTTGGAATAGAATGAGGGAGAGCGAGCCTTAGGGATTGTCCCGGTCGGGTGTTTGAACTCCAGTGACACCCATCATTGCCATATCTCTGCACCATCCTACTCTTCCTTAACTTTTTTTGCAGTACCTTTCTCTGGTTTACTTACTCATGTGTCCTAGTCTGTCATGTGATAACATGCATGACATCATAGGTTTTAGGTGTCGTTTATGCTCATTTTTAATATGGTTTCAATCAGTAGGTGACTCACATGAGAACTGCCTCTGCATTCCCCCAGTAATGCAGGTGGCACTTTCTGGAACTCTGTGGTCCAGTCTTTCATTGTAAAACTCGGGGAACCGAGGCTGGGAGGAGGGTCCTGTGCCCAGGGTCACACAGGCACTTGGTGGCAGGCGGGGCCTGTCCATAGCTCTGCCACTGTGCACACTAGCCCACCCCCACACCCCCCGCCCCAGTGTCAGTTTCCAGTGGAACGAGCTTTATTCTGCCCAGTCCTGCATGGAATCAGTCTCCTGAGTTCCAAGCCTTGTCTCAGGCAGCAGTCTCTGAGCTGTGATATCGGGGTCCTCCCCCCAGAGGTGGAAATCTTCCCCTCCACCTACAGCCAGGCACTCACGGTGTCCATGCTGGAAACAATGACCATGTCACTGGCCCCATTTCACAGTGATGGGAGGTGCGGGCCAGAGACGGTGAGTAACTTGCCCAGGGTCACGGAGCTGGCAGAGCTGGACTCCACCTCCAGCACCCACCCCACGGCCTCCAGGGTCCTCTTCCCTTGTCCTCTGCTCTCTCCAGGAGCTCATCACCGCCTGGTACATCGGCTTCCTGACCCTCATCCTTTCTTCGTTTCTTGTCTACCTGGTGGAGAAGGACGTGCCGGAGGTGGATGCGCAGGGAGAAGAGATGAAAGAGGAGTTTGAGACCTATGCAGACGCCCTTTGGTGGGGCCTGGTGAGTCACCCTTTGCCCGCCCCACCCCACCCCCCAAGGGGATGGCCTGTTATCCACAGAGAGAGATGGGCGGCTGCACTCTGCAGTCACAGTGAGAGTGAGACCGCCTCCATTTCCCATCCTGCCCCTGGGCGACCCCTCACAGGCTGCACGCTTTGAACAAGCAGGCTTCCCATCGTGTTTATAAGAAGTCAGGCTTCGCAATAGTCTGGTCCCAGGGTCACTAGGCCCTTACCTCATTAGTTGTCGGCTGTTATCAACCAAGCCACACGTGTGCAAACACACACGGTGACACAGGCCTTCAGACACACCTAGCGACTCAGCCCCACACCCACAGGGACACATGGCACAAGGTGGCACCTGCCAAAGGCGTACTTGCTCCAGAGCGCTGCTTTAGGCACGTCACCTTTATTAACACAGTTTAAACTCAAACAACTCTTATTGGGCCCTTTATAAATGGGGAAACTGAGGCATGAAGCGGGTAAGGAACTGATTCAAGGCAGACCCTGAGCCAGTCGGTGGTTGACCTGGGATTTGAACTCCGGCTGTTGGGCTGCGGAGGCCAAGCTCTTACCTGCTTTGCTCTCCTGCCTCCTGGGTTCACAAGTACATGTGTTCACGTTAATACATGTGATCATACACAGGAGTGCACAGCACATAGCAGACATTGGACACGCACACCTGTGTCCACATACATGTAAATGCACTCACAAGCACACATACTCGGTAACGTGGCTATACACAAAATCACACAAATACACGTAGGTACATGCACAAACATGTTTGCAGTTACTGAAACATTTGTGAGTCATCGACTATAGGTAGGAAATCCTTAACTCAGGGCAGGTGTGCCCTTGAGGGCCCCATGTAAGTTCCTTGATACTTGGTAGCTTTTCTCCTACGGGATCTCATTCTAAATAGTCACAGCCCCCCCCCCCCAAGTCAGTACAGAGGCTGATATGATGGGGGGAGCTCAGGGATACACCCCTGGTTTCCCTCTCCCTGGGGACCCCTCGTCTGAGCCCCACTTTCTTCAGATCACACTGGCTACCATTGGCTACGGAGACAAGACCCCCAAGACGTGGGAAGGCCGTCTGATCGCAGCCACCTTCTCCCTCATCGGCGTCTCCTTCTTTGCCCTGCCGGCCGTGAGTACCTCAGTGTGCACCCGAGTGCACACACAGGACCCTCCCCGCCTGGCCCCGCTCTGCCTGTCACCTTACCTTCCATCCTTCACGCCATGAACTCCAGCGCTGCCCATTCACTAGCCATCCCTGCAGCGTGGTGCCGGCTCTCTGCCACGCGCTGTGCTGGTCCCTTTGCCGGGAGTGAGTCCTCCAAGACCCAGTGTCCCCGCTGCCATCTTCAGACTGCTCGTCGCTCCCTCCTCTGGCAGAACCCTGGAGGGCATCTCCGAGCCTGTCCTGGGATTGCTCAGCTCCATGTCTGCGGAAAAGCTGAGCCACACAGATAACAGGACTTGCTCAGGGCCTCACGGCTGAAAAGTGGCAGAGTCAGGAAGTGGCCGAGTGGCAGAAGTGGCGGGCAGAGCGCCACTAAGCTGCAGAGGCAGGCCTCCCAGACGTCAAGGCTCCATTTCACCCAGCAGCCTACGCCCCTTCTCCCCAGCACTCGGTGTTGTCACTGCGGCCGGGAGCGGGTGGGTTCCCAGGAGCGTCTGGGGGGCTGCCTCCGAGCCTGACTTTCCCTCCAGGGCATCCTGGGGTCCGGGCTGGCGCTCAAGGTGCAGGAGCAGCACCGGCAGAAGCACTTCGAGAAAAGGAGGAAGCCGGCCGCTGAGCTCATTCAGGTCTGTCTGCTGTGGGTGAGCGGGATGGGATTAAATCTGTGCAGGCCTGGTGCATGTGTGTACACATATGGGTGTGTGAACATGTATGTGGTGGTGTGTGCATGTATGTGGGCATGTGTACGTGTGTGTGTGTGTGTGTGTGTGTGTGTGTGTGTGTGCGCGCTTGTACAGGAGTAGGCATGCCCGTGGCCTGGGACCCAACCCAGGACCAGCTTGCACGTGGGTAGCTGTGGTGGTTCTGTGGTTGTCTGTCTGGCCAGGCTCGGTGGGTGCTTACTGACAGTCCTATCCCTCTTCCTTCCGGGTTCTAAGCCAATCAGGAAACAGACCATCTCAGGACTCAGACCAACCCATCTGCTGTGAGAGAGAAACATCAGTGAGAGAGAGACATCCATTGGCTGCCTCCTGCACGCCCCCCACTGGGTATTGAGCCTGAAACCTGGGCATGACTCTGACTGGGAATCTAACTGGTGACCACTTGGTGCCTGGGTCAACACTCAACCACTGAGTCCCACCGGCCGGGACCATCTGCTGTTTTACTAACTAAGCTGCAGTGGAGAATTTGGGTCTTTCTACTCCCCACCCCAGTCTTGACTGGGGGACCCACCAGGAAGTCAGCCTGGCGTCCAGGAGCTGAGCCAGTCGCTACAAGGAGGTGTGGCCTCACCTCTGCCAGGGCTCAGCTCGGGAGCCTGTAAGCCAGAGAGGAAGAGAGGCCTTACACGGGGAACTGAAACTCACGCTGTGGTCCGCTGTCACGCATCCTGCGGCAGTGCTGCTGGCTGCCTGCCGGCTCTCCGTGGCCAGCACGCCCCGCCCTGGGCTGGAGGCTGGGACGATGGTGAGAGGCGGTGGCCAAGGCAGGAGTGCTCCCATCACGTCAGAGGGACTTTGTGCTTTGTGGCCTCCTGGCCGTGGGGAGCACAGAGAACGGGAGAGTGGAGAGTCCTGGCTGCGGCTGCATGGGACTGAATGGCCACCCACTCGTGACTTGTGTCCGGGTAGTGTCTCCGTGGGTCTGATATGGGATGGTCCTAGATGCTACCCTACACACTGTCGTTTCCAGGCCAGCCCCAGTCTCCAAGAGTGTACACCATGACCCCCCAACCCCAAACCATCCCAGTATCCAGTAATTCTAACACATTAGCCTCAAACCCCCTCTCCGCTGTCTCCTGCACCCAGAAGTGGCACCAAGGACAATATTTTGTCTTCCTATGGATTTGAGAGTCTCTCCCTCCAAGCGCATGAGCCGTGCTCTAAGGCTGTGGGACCGTGTGAGCAGTCAGGTGACACCAGGTCGGTCTCTTATCCCCGCAGGCTGCCTGGCGGTACTACGCTACCAACCCCAACAGGATCGACCTGGTGGCCACGTGGAGGTTCTATGAGTCGGTCGTCTCTTTTCCGTTCTTCAGGCAAGTGGTGGGTGACCCATCTGGACCGCTCAGGGCGTGGCCAGCTGCCCCTCCCATGGGTCTGCATTGGTGCCCATGGGCACACATTAGGATCACAGGGAGCTTAAAAACTCCCAGGGACCAGGGTGATTAATCAGACTCCCCCGGGAGGGGACTCAGGCATCAATATTGATCGGCTGCCTCCTGTACACCCCATACTGGGGATGGAGCCCACAACCCAGTCATGTGCCCTGACTCGGAATCAAATTATGATCTCCTAGTTCATAGGTTGACGCTCAACCACTGAGCCACGCCAGCCGGGCAGGAATCATTTTTAAAGAAACCCCAGATGACTCAGGGTGCCGATGTTGAGTGGCTGATAAGGGAAGGTCATATCAATGTTTGAGCGGGATCAGTGGCTGAGAAAATGGGGAACCAGTGTGAGGGGCCACCTTGGCAATGCATGCTCCCCCACCCCACTTGGCCTGCACCTGCTGCCGCTCCAGATGCTGAGAACCGCCAGGCGGAAGCTGCAGGAGGGACCCTCAGGGGACCCCAAGATGTCATTTTGTGTTCTCAGAAGGGGAGAGGAAAGGAAGGGAAAAATAAAAACCCCTTTCCATGGCTAGCACCTGGGAAAGGCGGGAGAAATTAGTGTTTATTAGATATGCACTACGGTCCAGACCTCCAAGTTCAGGTTTCAGTGAATCCTCACAGGCACCCTCCAAAATAAGTGAGAGGTTCTCAAGTGTAAGGCACGTTGCCATGGAAATGGGAAGGGCCTGGTAGAGCGGGTAAAGGTGGGCACAGTGGGGAGGAAGGACTGAAGGAGAGAGCAGGGCAGAGGGCATGGGCTCCGAATCACAGGTGGAGGATTGGCCATCATCAGCAGGACCCTTCATCGTCATTGTTGGCACAGAAGGGAAGCCGGTGGGTGGGGCCAGGTGTAAGAGATGGTGTGTTTGGAGGTGAAACCATGGGGCAGATCTTGGGGAGAGGTGAGTCAGGGTCGAGTGCTGGGGAGGGGGCAGTGGGGAGTGTGATGACGGAGAAGGCCTGAGCTCATGGTCTTGGAGAAGGAGAAAGGATGGGAAGGGATGCCCCTCATTCTTTAACACTGCTCCCCGGTCTTCCTTCTCCTGTCTTCCCTCAGCCCACTCCCTCACCCTTTCCCTCTGTCCTCGTGCTTCAGGGGGGAAATGGGCCAGAGGCTGTGTGGCCAGCCCAAGGCCAGACTGGAACCAGATGTTGAGCTGACCATGAACTAGAAATTCCTACCTCTCCAGCTGTCCCTGTACTCCGCTGCTTCTTCTCTCCCCGTTTCCCCCTCCCCGCTCCCAGCGATAGGCCAGTTACTCCCTCGGTGTTTACTGTGCACGCACTGTGGGCCAGTGTGTGGGGCGCTCAGATTTTGGAGCTAAAATACCAAGGCTCTGGCCCCAAGCAGTTCATGGGCTACCACATAATTCTAACACCATGCGATCTGAATACAATCCCACCTGTGAGATGAGCTCAGTGTAGACCCCGGGGAATTGGATAAAAAACACAAAAAAGGGGGTGAGGGCCTTTCTGCTGGAATGCTAAGGATGAGCGTGACTATCCCAGGCAGGGCAAAGAGGCAGGGAGTTCCCGGCAGAGCCTGAGTGAAGGCTCAGAGTCACAAATGTGTGCAGAGCACACGCGGCTTCGTGGTTAGTACTATGGGCACCGAGCCAGGTGGCCTGGGTTTGAGTCCTGACTCTGCTGCTTCCTAACTCTGAGACCTCAAGCAATTCCCTTAAACTCTCTGTGCCTCAGTTTTCTCATCAGGAAAATGGGCATGATAATGCTTACTCCATAGGGTTGGTATACATTGATCCATAAAAAGCACTTATAATGGTCTCTGCCTGTTAATTATTGCTCAGTAATATTTGCCATGATGATGTCAACTATGGTGATGATGGTGGTGACAGAGTGATGGGTGTGTAGCTGCTAAATGACGACATTCCGGTTCCCTGGTCTGTCCCCATCGCTAGACAGATGCCCTAAGCCCAGCACAGGGCCTGGGGCAGAGAAGGTGCTCAGCAACCATTTTCTAGATGAGTAAATGGATGGATGAATGAATGGCTGAGGAGAGCCTTGAGTGGGCAGAGCAGCAGGGGCCTGGGGTCTAGCTGGAGACGCCCATCTCATTCAGTGGGTCCCCTCCAGACTCACCGCCTCGCCTTGGGGTTCCTCTCTCTCCCTCTGCCTTCATCAAAGGGAAGCTGGGGGCACATTGTGGGGCGAGGGTTCTGTATAATTCATGCTCCATTTCTCTCTCCCTCCTCGCCTTACAGGAAGGAACAGCTGGAGGCAGCAGCCAGGTACGTTTCTGATTGTGAATTTCTTTTCCACCGCTGTGTCCGGATGGAGGGCCCAGCTCTGTGTGGTGCAGGGCCCCTGGGCAGCCATGCTGGTGACGGATAGAGCGTGGGAACCACTATTCCCCGTCCCCGCTTCATGTTAACTTTCTCCAGGACACCTTCCTGGTGGTAACAGCCGCGTCACTTGCTGAGTTTCTCCTCGAGGTGGGTTCGGTGCCGGGAGTCCCGCACCCGCTGTCTCAGTGGGTCCTCCCCATCGCAGTGCACCCCCCCTAGCCTCACGTTTAGATTGAGGAAACTGGGGCTCACTCCCTCTGGGTCACCCGGCTCACTGAGTGACAGACCAAAATTCAAACTCAGGCCTGAACACGAAGACCATGGTGTACTTCATTACGTGTCGCTTCCTTTGCTTCCTGGGCCCCCGGGTGGCTCTTTGAAAAGGGAGTCAGGACTGGAATTCGTGGCCCCACAGCTGTGGGCGCCCCGGTAAGGCCGTGAGCCTTCTCTGTCCCTCCCTCTCGCTCCCTCTCGGGAAGATGCCGCGAAGCAGGGAGCCTAGACCTGCTCGAGGCTGTGAAGCAGGACCGTCCCTGCCAACGTCAGCTTAGATATGTATTTGCTCTAGTATGTGGACAGACTGCTTGGGGACCTTGCGCTCAGTCTCCTAGACATTCAGCTCAACCACATACTTCTGCAGCTGGCAGGAGCGGGGCAGAGGAGGTGGCAGGGCCCTGGACCAACTTGTAGGGGAACCACTTGGGGACAGTGGTCTGTGGGAATCTGGGTCCATCCTTCTGAACGGGGTCCATGGTGCCCTATCCCCTCCATCACCCCACCTTAAAGAGACCCTCACAGACAGCACTGAGCTCCCAACAGAAGCAATGCCGCCTTGCCACCGCCTTTGTGCCTGTTTTCAAAGGATGCGCGTTTCTTTCCTGGACCCAGTTTGGGCTGTAGGGGGCGCTGGGGGATACTGCCGAGGAGGCTCAGGGGACATCTGCTAGGGAACTGCAGAGGCAGAGCGGGGAGACACCTCAGAGGGGTGCTTTTACAGAAGCCAAGCCTTCCGGGGGTGGGGGGGCAGGCTCACCCCAAGTTACAGGGCCTGTGAGCTCCGGGAGTGACACAGCCAGGTCTCAGGACTCCCAGCGGGTGCTCTTTCCCCTCCTTCTCTCGGGACCAACAGGGTTTTAGATCATGCAAGTGTTGATACTGCAAGTTACTCAGTCTACCTTAGGAGCCTTTTCTGTACCGGCATGAACAGAATTCAGCCAAACTGGAACGTCCATGCCAAAATCACAGTGCACTGGGTTAATGAAGGCCAGAGAGAGGCATTTTGAAGCTTACAGAAAGAGTGGGTGGGTGGATGATGGATAGGCAGACTCTATGTTCTATGAGTGTCAGAGACCCAACTTAAATGACCTGGGACTGGGAGGACAATGTCATGGTTCAAGTCACCCATCAGACGTGCTGGGAACCCATGGCAAACAAGGAATGGGACCTTCTGGGATTCCTCCCTTCTCTCCCCTCTGCTTCTCTTTGTGGTCTCACTCTTTCAGCTGACCTTCACCATCCTGATAAAGTGTGGGTGCAGGCAGCCCCAGGATCCTACATTTTTCTTTGCACGCAGCTCCAGTGCAAAAATTCCCAGGGAAGCCCTTGGGTCAGCCCAGTTTGTGTCCCACATGCACACTTTGGACAGACTCTCTGGCTCAGAGAGTGAGAAGCCACTGCCAGCCCAACCCTGGGCCATGTGTCCACTGTTAGAGTGACTCGGTGTGAGGTCACGATGCTATGATTGGCAGCTCCCGTTAGAGTCACTTGATTGACGTTGGACAATCAGTTCCCCAATAGAACACGGTCCTTTTCCCTGAAAAACAGGGATGAAACAGAGCAGACAAAAATCACAGTTGCCCCTGACAGGCATCAGTTCTACCCATAAATTCTTAACCCCCTAAAAATAATATTGCATTACACACCATCAACAATAAACCCCCCCGAGCCTCATTTATTCCACAGATTGCACCAGAAAAGACGGATGTGTTGTGTGCGGGACATCATGTGTTCGTGTGTGTGTGTGTGCGTGTGCGTGTGTGTGTGTGTGTGTGTTACTGATTTCATAGAGGAAGGGAGGGGCAGAGAGAGACAGAAACATCAGTGATGAGAGAGAATCATTGATTGGCTGCCTCCTTCACACCCCTTACTGGGGATCGAGCCTGCAACTCAGGCATGTGCCCTAGTCCAGAGTTGATCCCAGGACCCTTCAGTTCGCAGGCCGATGCTCTATCCACTGAGCAACACTGGCTAGGGCTAGGACATCATTTTAAGCATCAGTTAGGACTGTTCATTAGAGAGGCAGCATGGCTGATGATCAGGGGCATTTGTTTGCTAGAAACTAGCATTTTCAAATGTTCAGAACAGGTACCTGTTGACAATGCTGTTTACTGGAGCCTGGTCGTTCACTTTGTATTTCCGAGCAGTTCAGTCTGAACAGCAGCCTTTGGGCTTTCTCTGCATTCGTCTTTGGAGAGGGAAGCAGTGTGTTCCAGGCAGCTTCTTTATCTCCTGTCTTGTATTATGTCCTTCCCGGCACAGCTGTCAGATTTAGTAGACGATCATTCTTTGGATCAGAGAATTCAAACATCATAACAGTCATTTATAAAGAATGCTCACGGCTTGCCGGGTATAGTTCTAAGCACATCCAGCCTCACAGTGAGCCCTTGAGTAGAAGCTATTTTTAACCCCCATTTTAGACATGAGAACACTGTGGTTCAAAGAGGCAAGTGACTTGCACAAAGTTATACAGCTAAGAAAGTTGTGAGAGCAGGATGTGGCCTATCTTTGTAGTTCATGGCCGCAGTCACTGGTAATCTATTAACCTAATCTGTTGGTTTGTTTTCTTCCGCCTTTTCTTGGCTCACATACCTGGAGTCCCTGGCTCAGGGCTCGGAGCCAGGATATACTATTGAGGGAAGGAGCATCGACAGGCGCTATAATTCAGGCTTTGCCTTCTCCCTGTGACATCAGCCACATGAAATTCATCTCCCGGGGTGATGGAGGATGTTGGCCATAAATCTCCTTCCGTGCCCCGGAATTAATGACTGTTAAAGGTGTGCAGGAATCGAAAGCTCAATTAAGCCAAGCCCCTCATTTTACTGATGAGAAAATTATTACCCGGAGCAAAATAAGAGCCTGGACCCATTCCGACCGCTGTTAGTATTTTCTGCCATCCAGACCCTGCCAGTGGGGCCAGGCTGCGAGTAACTGAGATGCAGAGGCGAGGCCTGGGCCAGTCTAACCTCCGAGGGATTCCTGGAACGTCCTAAGGGCTCGGTCTCACTTCTCCTTTGGGAACATGCGTGAGTGCCCATTGACAGCACCCCATTCCCTCTGAATTATGAACCAATCGAAAAATAGACAGGAGTTTCTGAGAGAATCAAAGTACAGGCTACGTGCTGGGGGAAGCCCGTGGGCTCTGGGGGCGACAGTGAGCGTCCTAGCCCTCCCCACTTTGTCCAGCCACGTTTCGGATAAAGAGTCATTGAGATGAAAGGAGAGTGGAAGGTTTCCCGGGAACAGGTCACAGCAGGTGCAAAGGCCCGGAGGTGTGCAGTCAGGGAACTGCCCAGGGGTGGGGCTGGACTTCCCTGAGGCTGGGAGCTGAGTCAGGGGCCCCTGCCACCTCCCTCAGGACAGAACAATCTTGAGTTGACCTTTCCATCCCCAACCCACTGAGTTGCAGTTTTCCCAGTTCACGTTTCAGAATCGCCTGTCCTCACTTTCCCAGGAAATGGGGCGTCAGCTCCAGGGAGGGCTTCTCCTGCCAGGCCCGCAGCACCTCAGAGCCCACGGCCCGAGTCCTGCCCTGGAAGTCCGAGTGGAGAAAGGCCCGGATGGGTTTGAGTTTCAGGGGTGCACTTTTCCTGGCACGTGACGATCCTTTGGGCATGTCAGATTTCAGGCAACACAACTTAGAAGTAAGCTGATCGCCCACTTTTGCTGGAGGGAGAATTCCCTAAGCCTCTTAGACGCAATGGCCGTAACTTGTGCCCGCCACCTCCGGGTTCCTAATGCTGATGAAATCACATCTTGTCAGCCATCTTCTCTGAACAGTGGGGCATTAAGTGAACGGAGCGCGGCCGTTCAGACTGTTCAAGGTTGCACTGAACCGTGTAAATGCCAAGCCAGCGAATCCCAAACTCAGCAGATAGAAGCCGGAGAGGCCTCTCGTTAGCTCTCCCATAGTCAGCACTTCCGGGGGCTCTCCTGGCAGGACAGAGTGGCTGCCGATGCTTTTGTTTTGCTTATTTTAATTGGAATTAAGTCCGCATAGACTTATCTCCTGCCAAGGTCAAGTTCAGTGACAATGGGGAGTATTTGAGTCGAGTGTGAATAAGTACTGTAAAATAATAGAATATTGGATGCCGATTGTAATAGAGAAATAAACAATTAAAAGGAGTGCTGTAAAATGATAGAGAGCTCCCAGGCACTCATTTCAGTTCATTAAAAAAACAAGGGCACACAACTATTTTTGTGGCCCAGGAAATGGTACCCATCCTTTCCGCACATCATTAACCGTCCTGGCGGCTGCGGGAAGGGACTGCTAACGGAGATAGTGGTGACAGCCAGCGTGTCTGGGAGGCGCTGGCATCCCAGACAGTGGCTGGCGCTCAGCAGGCATGCACACTTACCCTCAGGCAGCCGTGTGCCGCCAGGGCTGAGAGGAAGCGGGGAGCCGAGAGAATGAGTCCCGTGTCCAGGGCACACCTTTCTCAGGACAGGCCCGTGCAGCCTGCTGTTGCCCCAGAGCCCGTGGTTCTCGCTGCTGCCCTGCCCATCGGGGTGTGCCGAGCAGGGCCGTGTGCTGGGTTCGGAGATAATAAGGCAACGTGTCTGCTCTGCTCGGACCACACAGTTCAGGGGCAGGCAGACGTGGGAAGGCGCCATCTCCACACAGTATGGCAAACTGGCGGGAAAACGCAGCGTGTCTGTGCGGCAGA